AAAATAGATCAGAATTCATACCCAAAATAGATGGGAGCTTCTAATTGGTCGTCTCAAAAATAAAATTGCAGAGGAACTCAGAGCTCATAGCATTGCGAAGCCTTTATACAGGTTCATCTTTCTGGCATATAGTTCATACAACAGAAGAATTGGGGCAGCAGTAAGTAAACAGGGAGGCAAGGAGACACCACCGTTCTAACCAAAAGATTTCCCCAACAGCTCTCTTCTCCGTCTTTCAGAGTCAAGAGTCTGAGCTCCCCCCGGCCCATCTTGCAAGATGCCTGTGTGAACGCTGGCAGGTTTGCCCCTTACCTTCTGCCGCTGCTGAATGTTGGCCACGGTGTCGGGCTGGAAGTCCAGCTTGTCCGTGCGGCAGAGTTTCCAGTAGAGGATGATGACGATCACCATCACCACCAGCACGGGAATGACCACGCCCACGATGACCCACAGGTTGCTGCTCTGGGACTCCGGCGACGGCCTCTTCACCCTGTCCACGGCTGCAGACAAGGAAGGAAGGTCTCTGAATAACTCCTCTGCAGCCCTTTACTGGACAGCCCTCTGGGCGGTGAACGGGCCTTCTTCTGTGAGAAACCTGGAAGGTCCCTGTCATGTCAGCTCTAGGCAGCTGGTGAGAGGCTACGATCTCCTGATGACAGGAAGAAACGTGACCAAGCAACAAACACCACACAGCTAGAAAACATTAGGGATCAGAGTGACATATATAATGTGTCTAAAATAACATGGCTAATTCTATGGTAGAGGTTCATTTCAGGTCTCCTGACTTTATTCTACCAGCTCTCCCTGAAGTCTCAGTGCAGGAATGCTTCCATACCAAAAATTAGAAAGCCTAAACATAATCTATAATCTATAATCATAAACATGATCACTGCGTTAATCCCCTCACCTGTGTCTCTCCCTAAACCCTTGAAATATGGCTTTTAATTGAAGGTACCAGCTGTCAATTTCAAAATCACATTAAATCAAACTTACTCATTTTGAATCTGCTACTCCCACCCTCCTGCCACCCCCACCCCTACCCCACCTCAGCCCCCCATCTTCCATGGCCTTGGACAATCATGCTTCAATGTCCTTTGCCAGCTCCTTTCCTTAACCCCGCCTCCCAGTACTGGGCCCTCGTCCTTTTCACTCCATAGTCACCCTCTTGGAGGACTCAGCTCCTCGTAAAGCTCAGGGTCCAGTCACCAGGATCCGAAAACCAAAATGCTGCTCCTCTCTCCCGAACCTCCTGATTGGTTCGGGCTGCTGCATAACAAGCTCTCCATGACAACACTAGTTCCTCCCCCTCTCCCCCCTCCCCCCATTGTCTAAGTTCTTTTGTTCTGGTTGTCTGTGTCTTGCAGGAGATGCCTTACTATTCTTTTAAAATGCATTTTATTACATGACTGTATCAGGTTGATATACTGCACTACTTTGCTCATTAACACAGTCATGGCTTTAAGTCTTGTCTTTTCAAATCCATCTCCGTCTTCACGGGCAGGGACTGAGCTTTACGCTCGTTTGGTATCCAATAATGCTTAACACATGCTATGGGATCTCAATGTTTCTGCTCAAAGACATAACAACAAAAAAGATTCTTGGTGCTGCTTTCAGTTTGGGTTGAGGCCCTGAAGAGAGTGACATGGGAGGGGAGCTCAAGCACTTTAAGCATGAGAAACTACAAAAGAACAAATTACAGAGCAGAGACTAAGCAGGAAACGGAAAAAGTGACAGCGTGAAACATTAATATTTTTAAATATGGCCTGGATATAGTGTATCTATGTAGCTCATTTTGCATGAAAATAGCTGAAGATATAGAAGGAGTGACAGGGTCAAACTGAGGAGCTGGGACAACTCTTCCTAGCTCTAACCTAGAAAACCCTGTTCAATGCACAGATTGATGGAACAAAACCCTAACACCAGGACCCGCAGCTGCCTTGGGCTGGCCTCGGTGTTGGCTGAGGCTTCCAATCCCAGGATTGTGATCCCTATGGTTTTTAGCATGAAACTGAGAAAGAGAGCTGCAAAGAGCAGATGGAAATAGGCTTGAGAGGTGCCCATACCCTGCTGCAATTAACCTTTTATAAAAGGTGAAGTGCATAGCTTAAGTGGGGCACCTCTCCTACGATTAGAAATGTCATATATGAGTGAAGTACGTCAGGCTGAGAAAGACAAATGCCATAGGATCTCACTTATACGTGGAATCTAAAGAACAAAATAAATGAACAAACAAAGCGGAAACCAACTCATAGATTCAGAGAACAAACTGATGGTTGCCAGAGGGAAAAGGGGTTGGGGAACTGGGTGAAAAAGGGGAAGGGATTAAGGAATACAAATTGGTAGTTACAAAATAGTCACAGGGATGTAAAGTACAGCATAGAGAATACAGTCAATAATATTGCAACAATTATGTATAGTGCCAGGTGGGTACTAGACTAATCAGGAGGATCACTGCATAAATTATATAAATGTCTAACCACTATGCTGTACACCTGAAACTAGCATAAAATATTGAATGTCAAAAATAAAATGCATGAAGTTAAAAAGTCATATATGAAAAAAATGTTAAGTGCTTTGTTATTTTTTTCCTTACTGCTCTGAAATAGAACACACTAATATACAATCATAGCTCAAGTACACAAATGCAAACCACGAATGGTTATTTGCTTCAACTCTACCATCATCTTATAAGAAATGGGGAAAGTGTGGCCATTAGCCCTCATCCTGGTTAGTTTCCAGGGACAAGTATAGATTTCACAAAGAATCGTCTACTGCCGAGGATCATTTCAAAGCTGTCAATTTTGAAAACTGCCTTTGTCTCTTACATACTTTCTGTACAGAGTTTCTCCAATAGTCTCTGATGCAGAATTCCTTCTAAACGTTTACTTATCCATCTACTGTTGGGAGCAAGGATCGCCGAGCTCTTATGAGGGTTGTTCTCAGGATCATAAAGGAAAAACAGCCACATAAAAATAGCAGCCTGATTCATCAATGTATATTTAGAGAAATACACTCTTCCATGCCTCTCCTTTTCTTAATTTTAAACACCTAAAATCTGTGAGTTGGGAAAAAATAGGCACTGAGAGCAGCCATGACTGGAGGGTAGGGGTCTAGTATCTGCCCCAAATAATAAAGAAATAGCAAAATACTGCTTTCTAAATTGTGAAGTGGTGTGAGGACCGGGTGGGGGAGAAACAGGATTGAAAAGAGCAAGATCAAGGACTTCTTTGTGTTAAAAGACCCAGAAGGAAGCCAATAACTGCAGAGGGCACCTCCCAGCTTCCTGCGTGACTCACTGTCCCCACCAACCTTCAAAATATGACATAAAAGATGTTGGAATAAATACAGATAAAACATGTTTTTACCTAAGACAAACAAATTTTTAAAAGAGTAGTAGTACAGGAGGTAGCAGAGGAATATTAAATTTAACTTAAGCTACTATAACACCACAAATACAGAATGCAAGGTAGAGAACAGCAGGGAAGGGTACAGCCTCAAGAGACTGAAATAAAGAAGGTCTTGGCAAATGATTTTTAACAACTGACATCGTATGTAAGTGCCACTTAAAAATAAGGATTTGAGACATCAATCTACTACAGACACACATGAAGGCCTTAAATTCAGAGTTTGCTATCAAAAAAAAGGCTGGCTTTTGACCCCAGCACAGCACAGACAACTGACTACTCAGGGGCCAAGCCTCATGCACTTACGTTGGGCGACAGCTCCTTGAATTCGGTAACCCAAGATAATGGCTGCTCTCTGGATATCTATCTTGTTAATCAGATCTGAAGACTTGACCGCACTGAGTCTTTCTCCATCTTGATCTTCCACAAAGTAGATGAGCTGCACGGGATTATCATCTCCCTCGAGCCTTGACACATTTACCACCTGAAAGATAACACAAACCATTAGCATTTTAAAAGCTCATGTTTCCAGATGCCCTTTCTCAGGCGCTCAATCTTGACTGTGTTATTCAGGATTTATTCTAATCATAATAAGCTCCTTAGACTGTTCCAGGTGCCAGAATCCCCATGACACTTTCTTAGTGGGAAGAGAGACAGTTAAAATGAAAGTTCCTCTGTGTGGAATAACAAATGAGCTTCATCTCACTCAAAGTCTTCTCTGAGACAAAGGGCCAAGTCCGATACACAGACCATAGGG